TACAGGAGCTTATTCTGGTTAGTGCTGAGTAGAAATGGGGAGGAAATGGGGTCAATAGCTCCCGAACGCATCCTAGTGGTCTCGGGGTCAACAGCCCTTCCTGATCCCTAATGCTCAGTGGGCCTCCATGGCTGGCTCCCAACAAGATTCCCTATCTGTGCAATGGCCATCTTGCCCTGGGGCTCAGGAGGTCCTTTGGTATTTTATAACTTAATTTTTAAAAGTAATCAAGAAAGTATACCAACTTAAGAGAATTTTATCTAAAGTAGTTAAACATTTGGCTTATCTAGAGCATCTCTTTCTCTGGAAATACCTGGTAATCTAGTTTTACTGTCTTTTTCTTCTTCAGCATCTCAGCAATGTTATACAACTGTAAAGTGGCATTACCACTGCTATTCTAGAAGTCTAGTTAATTCAAACAAAATTCAAGGCATTCCCCTTTTGAGATTGTCACCTCAGTGAATTCTAACACATGACTGGGGCCTTTTTTACCCTCTGTGTCATACGGAATGTTTTTGTTGCTATTAGCCTTATCTCTTATAGTCTGAGATACAAGAGTATATAAGATAGCTCTAATCATGCTTTCCGTGAATGCCATTCAGGGTCCATTTCTAACTGGGAAGTCCCATATTAGTGTTTTATAACTCATATTCATTAGAAGGATTTTTGCCTAAAGTTACATTCTGAATTCTCTGTAGAGGGAGTATTCAGATTATTTAGTACTGAATAACTACTTATCTGGGAAAATAATTTTGTGTCATCTATGTTAAGACAAATGCTGGAGAACTGAGGTGGTATGTCAGAGAAAGTATTATGGTAGTCACTTATGGATAGCAGATAATATGTATACACCTGTGGTTTGTCATTATTCCTCTGGTCATCTGAATAAAACATTCATTTTTTTCTTTCCATTAAAGAAAAACTTCATTGTGTTATAAATTGCATCCTTTATAATTTGCACATAAGTGTACAGTTTGCTAATTTTTAGTTTATATCATTGTGTAAGCATCACATACAAGCTTTTATTTTTAAGAAGTTATTTTCCAAATTTTGATTAGAATCTATATCTGTTCCTTCTAGTCTTTCACTATCCCCAACTTAATTACAACTGCTTTTTAGAATTTTCTTCTCCTGTCCTGGTGAACACTGACCTCCCTTTTCTCTGAACTCTGTAGCAGGACAGACTTTAGATATTCATTATGTAGAATTCTAAAGGCCCTTATTTTGTTCCCCAAACTCTATCATATTACTTGAAATGCTTACCGTAGTGCCTAAAAACTCACCATTAGAAATATTTACTTGCTTAAGATGGACTGTGTATTAGCTAGTAGTATTGCATCAATGTTAAATTTTTGAATTTAATAATTTAGCACTATGTTCATGTAATAGAATATCTTGTTTTTAGGAGATACTAGCTGACATATTTATGGATAAGTATCATAATGCCTTCAGCTTAATTTGAAGTGGTTCAGCAAAAATAGCATTAATAATAACTACACACACACATAATCATATAGATTCAATGTAGGTGAGAGAGAGTCCAAGCAAATGTGGCAAAATGTTAATAACTGGTGAATCTAGGTGGAAAGTATATAGTAGTTTATCATATTAATGTGCAACTTTTTTGTAAGTTTACATTATTTTTAAAACAAAGAGTATTATTATTTTTGTTTTGTTTTGTTTTGGTTTGGTTTGGTTTTTTTGAGTTGGAGTCTCACTCTGTCGCCCAGGCTGGAGTGCAGTGGCCGCTCCCGGCCACCGCAGTCTCGACCTGCTGGGCTCTGGCGATCCTTCCGCCTCAGCCTTCCAAGTAGCCAGAACTACAGGCATGTGCTACCACGCCCGGCTGATTTTTTGATTTATTGTAGAGATGAGGTCTTGCTGCCCAGGCGGGTCTTGAACCCGCGGGCTCAGGCAATCCACTCACCTCAGCCTCCCAAAGGCACGGGATTACAGGCTGAGCCACCGAGCCCGGCCCAAGAGTATTATTTTTAAAACAAAGAGTAACAGAAGAAAATATGTTCCTTTAGTTCAGTGTTCTCTGCCCCAGCCACACATTAGAATCACCTGAGACCTTTTAGAAACTACAACTGCCTGGACTCCACCTGCCAGAGATTTTTATTTAATTGGTCTTGGGTGGGGGTTTAAGCATCTGAAATTTTTTATTTTTATTTTTTGAGTTAGGTCTCACTCTGTCACCCATGCTGGAGTGCAGTAGCACAATCATGGCTCACTGCAGCCTTGACTTCTTAGGCTCAGGCGATCCTTCCACTTCAGCCTCCTGAGTAGCTGGGACTACAGGGAACTCACCACCATGTCCAGATAATTTTTTTGTAGAGATGAGGTCTCACTATGTTGCCCGGCTAGTCTCAAACTCCTAGACGCAAGCATTCCTCCCACCTTGGCCTCCCAAAGTGCTGGGATTATAAGCATGAGCCTTCACACCTGGCCTGAATTTGTTTTTTAAAGCCCTCTAGAAGCACTTAATATGCATCTAGGGTTAAGAACCATTGCATTATAAGAATAATATATTTTAGCTGCCATTTATCATACTTTGGAATAAATTTTCAGTCAGATTACTTTCCTCTATATTGGTATGCCTTTATTTTTCTTTTTATGCTTTTTATTTATGTATTTATTTTTCGAATCAAGGTCTCACTCTGTTCCCTAGGCTAGAGTGCAGTGGCACAATCACAGCTTACCGCAGCCACCAATTCCTGGGCTCTAACAGTCCTCCTTTGTCAGCCTCTGAGTAGCTGGGACTACAGGTGCGCATCACAACACCTGGCTAATTTTAAAAACTTTTTGGAGAAATGAGGTCTTGCTATGTTGCCCAACCAAAATGGTCTCAAGCTATCCTCCTGCCTTGGCTTCCCAAAGTGCTGGGATTATAGGCATGGGCCAACACACCTGGCTGTGCTTCTTCTACAAGCATAAAAACCCTTCAAAAAAATCAAGCAAAGTTCCAGGCACAAAACAGATTCCTACCACACTGTGATTGAAGTGAGTTCTTTAAAAAAAAATAATAATTTCTTAAATTAGTCTTAATCATGTCATGGTGTTTATCCAAGTCAGCTGTTATAAATGAATTCATGTTGTATATGTCAATGTTACATTAATATTTTCTGTAGTATAGGTATTATTTTTCACATTATGACAGATGGGACAGTGGCTTTTATCCTGCCATAAAAATGATACTAATTGTAAATTTTAGAGGGCCAGTGCTTCAGTTCATAAAATGTCCCCCTGAAACTGCCAAGCTATAGAAAATGAAACCCATTTAGATGGGAACTGCTAAGGAAAGAAAATAGGCACAGTTCATCAAGAATACTGCTGAGATAAATGATGCTAAGAACTTTAGACTTAGAAAGAAGGAACAAGCTAGAGGCTGAGTGAGAACAAGATGAGAAATACTATTATTTAAATTATGGGTAGGAATTATCCTTAATAAAATGACTCACAAAACAGAAAGCAAAAAACCACATATTCTTTTTTTTTTTTTTTTGAGTTGGAGTCTCACTCTGTCACCCAGACTGGAGTGCAGTGGCCGCTCCCGGCCACCGCAGCCTTGACCTGCTGGGCTCCAGCCATCCTTCCGCCTCAACCTTCGGAGTAGCTGGAACTACAGGCGCACGCTACCATGCCTGAGTAATTTTTTGATTTATTGTAGAGATGAGGTCTCGCCTGCCCAGGCGGGTCTCGAACCCGCGGGCTCAGGCAATCCACTCACCTCAGCCTCCCAAAGGCACGGGATTACAGGCTAAGCCACTGAGCTGGCAAACCACATATTCTTATAAGTGGGAGTTAAACAATGGGTACACACAGACATACAGAGTAGAATAATAGATGTTGGGGACTCCAAGAGGTAGAAGGCTGGGAGGGCGTAAGTGATGAAATACTACCAATTGGGTACACTAAAAGCTCAGACTTCATCACTACACAATATATCCATGTAACACAACTGCACTTGGACCCCTAAATCTATTAATAAATAAATAAAAATAATAAATTAAAAAAATTATAAACAACAAGCAGATGTTTCAAAAACATGGGCAGAACATAGTAAAAAGTAGATGGAAATACTTTGTATGAATATAGAAAAACAAGTGCTCCCATACATAGATAAAGCAGGGAAAAGGATCTGAGAAAGGAAAAGAAGAATCAAGAGATTTGCTGAACTGAAAAATGTCTTGAGTGAATTTAAGACAGGATTATAAACTAACCCAAACCATTTTCTACTTTTTTTAAAAGCCTCTGGATCAGATTTTTAAAAGTAAAACAATAAGTTCTAGAATGAGAGATTAAGACTAAGAACTAGTTCTAGACAAAGAGAAGAAAATGTATGTCAAAAGATAATTAAATAGGAAAAAGAGTACACATCTAAAAATTCATTTACTAAGAGTCATTATGCCGGGTAATATGACAGCATTATAGAATTTCTGGGCACATTTGAAAAGAGTTCTCAAGCATCACAAACTCAAGTTGTAGTTTGTTCCAGTAATAGTAGCGTGATGATCATGGTCATATGAGTGGCTCCTGTGTCATAAAAGGCCCCAGAGAAGTAGAATGACATCTTGAAAGGTTTCAGTAAAATCCATTTAGGATACTGAGAATGGAGTTTGATTTGTGAATCCTCCTTTCATTATGGCAGAGTTTCTCACAAATTGGGAAGAGAATCCAGCTAGACTGGTAAAATATTTCAGTACCTCTTTAATAACACCCTGAATTTATATAATAGTATGACTAATTACTCTGGATGTAAAATATGCAATGGTTCTTGATTTTTTCCACCATCATTAAGGCAAGGGCAGAAGTAGGGATAAAGTTTCTCTGTGAAAGTGCTACTGAAGGTATAAATGTGGGTCATGGTGTTAGCATTGTAAAAGGACACCTGCCCTCCTTCGTAATCCAGATATATACCCACCTTGTTGAAGTTGTTAGTCAGTTTCAGACTGCAAGAAGGCAAATCCAGAGCCTTTAGATCAGTTTGGTTCCTTAGTCTTAAAAGCCAGAATCCTTTCTCAGGAGTTAGAGAACAACTGCCCTTCCGAATGATGGATTCTCTGACAACTCCGACTGTCCATTTTGTCTTCTTTGCTACTTCTACTTCCCAGTACCACTTTCCTGATGTGAAGCCCTTTGAGCTCAGCACAGCCACACTTGAATCAAACCTCTCTGGATCATCAGGCATTACCTGCTTAATGTCATCATGCCACACACTGGTTTGGTTTTTGGAGAGCACCAAGTTTGGGTGAGCAGTTTTAGGGTCCAGAGTTAGTGGACATAGGCCTAATAAGAAAATAAGAGAAAGCAGGGTATGGGAGAAAAGGGGTGAGTGCAAATTCCCATGGTAAAAGATAGTATTTACATAGTCTCCAGACTTTATCTCCCCATACACATATACTCTTAGACAGACAAGCAATTATATACTTTTTTTTTCTCACTTTTTTGCTGGAGTGCAGTGGCATGATCATAGCTCAGTGCAGCATTGAACTTCTGGACTCAGGTGATTCTCCCGCCTCAGCTTCCCGAGTAGCTGCACCACAACACCCAGCTAATTTTTAAAATATATATATTTTTGTAGAGTCAAGGTCTTGCTGTGTTGCCCTGGCTGGTCTCAAATTCCTCAAGTAATCCTCCTACCATAGCCTTCTAAAGTGGTGGGATTATACATACATACTTTTTATTGTTTGAGTATTCATGTTACTATAGTCTAGTCATTTTTATATTTAGTTTAAAAATCAGGCTTTACTCTGAAGTAATTTATGCTCTACTAAAGGAAGCAATACACATAATGTAAATCCATACTAATAAATATAAGAAAGTACAAATGCCAAAGGGGTAGTAAAAATTAGATAAGGATGTCCAGGAAAGCCTTCTAAGGAAAAATAAGTATTTTGGTTATGATATAACATATATTTAGAATGCTTTGGATAAACAGGGAAAAAACTAAATGTGTTAAAAACAGTCACTGTGTGGGAGAGAACTTAAGAACTTGCCTGTTAGAGACACATAAGACAGCTAACTAGTACAGAGTTTACAGGACAATGGTGGGAAGTTTATATTTGGTTTAACAGATAATGAGACTTTTGAGATCTGGAGTGGCTCATGCCACTGCTACTCAGAATGTTGTCTACAAACAGTGTGGTTTACAGTCTGGGACAAAATAGTACAGAAATTGAGAGTAAGGTTTTGGAAACTTTCACAGCAATCTGACAATAATTTTATGTCCATTGAATCTAATAATTACAAAATTTGGCCTTGTGCTGTGTAATCTTTGTTTTTTAAAATTTCACTTTTTCAAGCAATTAATTTATATCTTATTCTACAATAGTGTCAGCCCATGATAAATGGACATTTTAAAACCTGTCCTTTCATTAGAGATAGTTTGACAAGTATTTGCTTAGACAAAGGGCAACAGTATGAAAAATAATTTCTAAATGAAGAGAGGTTGGAAGCAGACCATTAAGATGACACCATCAAGGACTTAAATGTGAAACCTCAAACTATAAGAATTTTAGAAGAAAACTTAGGGAACACCTGCCTAGACATCAGAGTAGGCAATGAATTCATGACCAAGTTCTCAAATGCAAAGATTCACAAGTGGGACCTTATCAAGCTGAACAGTTTTTGCACAGCAAAAGAAACCATCGAGAGTATAAAGAGTCAGCACACAAAATGGGAAAAAATATTTACAAGCTATTCATCTGACAAAGACCTAACATCCAGGATCTACAAGGTACTTAAATGAATTGATAAAAGAAAAACAAATAATCTCATTAAAAAGGGGGCAAAGTATGTGAACAGACATATCTCAAAGGAAGACATTCAAGTAGCCAATAAACATATGGAAAAATACTCAGCTGTAAATCAAAACTACAATGAGATTCCACCTCACACTGGTCAGGATGGCTATCATTAAAAAATAAAAATAAAATTAAAAAAAGAGGTGTTGGCAAGACTGTGGAGATAAGGGGATGCTTCTAGACACTACTGGTGGGAATGTAAACTCGTTCAACCCTGTGGAAAGCAGTGTGACATTTTTCTCAACTAAAAAATTGAGCTGTCATGTGATCCAGCAATTCCACTTCTGGAAATAAACCCAGAGGAACATAAATTATCCTACCAAAAGGACACCTGTACATGTATGTTCATTGCAGCATTATTCACAATAGCAAAAACATGGAACCAATTCAGATGCCCATCAAAAGTGGACTGGATAAAGAAAATGTAGTACATATATATACATGATGGAATACTACACAGCTATAAAGAAGAACAAAATCATATCCTTTATGATGTTTCTATATTACAGAAACAAAAAACAGAATATCTCATGTCCATACTCACAAGTGGGCCCTAAACATTGAGCATGTGAACAACAAAGGCAGGTATAACTGATGCTGGGCACTACTTGTAGGGGTAGGGGACAAGGAACACACAACCACCCACTGGGTACCATGTCCACTACCAGGAGAGGACTCGCTGGAAATCCATACTTCACCTGCATGCAATTTACTTATGTAGCAAATCCTCATATGTACCCCACAACTCTAAAATAAAAAATTTTTTTAATTACACCAGTTCTAGATGTGATATAATTGAACCTTGGCATGAAATTTAATAAAGGAAACATGATAGCTATGTGTGTTCATACCATGGACACAGATATATGCATTTGATGATAATTTATCCTTGAAGGCAAGATCAGACCAGTCTAACTCTCTGTTCCCAGAAAAACCTGAGTCTTTTACATCATCCCAAGGACTTCTGTTTCCAACAAGAGGCTTTAAATAGTTAAGCATCCTGGATTTTTCCATATGGGCTGAATCCTCTCCCCCTTACATATCTCAGTGCACTTTGGGCTATTAATCTTTCCAATGTGAGGACTAGGATTTCTTCGGAGGTACCATAAAGACATTTTACCACCATTTTTAGAACCACAGTCCACTCTCATTGCTAAGCTTCTGACACCTCTAGCCCACATTGGCTCTGAAGACTCCTTGGAGTCATCTTTTCATCCTCTCTTTCCTTTTCATGCCATATTCAATCCAATAGCAAGTTCTGTCAGCTCCAACTTCAAAATATATTTTGAGCTTAAACACTTCTAACTACTTTCACAAACATCACTGGCCTGGAACTACTGCAATTGCTTTTTTCTCTTATGTTTCCACTCTGCCCCTCTGCAACCTATTCTGCCCATAATTGTGAATGAGATCATGCAGTTTTCCTACTCTGCATACTCTTGTGTTTCCCATCACTTCTGAGATAAAATTCAGAGTCCTTACAGAGCAAACAAGATCCACATGATTTACTTGCCTCTCTAACTTCATTTCCTGCTACACTCCTATTTATTTACTTTGATTCAGCCTTTTGGCAGTTCCGTGAACCGACAAGCTTATTCCTACTTCAGGGTCTTCACTCTTCCTAGAACACTTTTCCACCATATGGTTCACTCCACATTATTTGGGCCTTTGTTCACGTAGGGTAAATAAAATGATAATGGTAGAATCTATCATAGATATCATAGGTAGGTTTAGAGGTGCTCATTGTAAAATTCTTTAAATTTTTCCATATGTTTGGAAATCTCCACAATAGAATGGAGAAGGGAGTTACCTCTGAGAGAGGCATTCTCTGGACATTCTGTCTAAATAATATGTTCATCTATTGATCGTTTTTTGTATTCTTATCCTGCTTTATATTTTCTCATGAATAAGTAATTTATTGAGTGTACTCTTCTTTATTCTTTTAACAATGGTTATCACAGTAGGAAATTATCTACTTGCTCATTGTCCACCTCTTCCACTAGCATGTCTTGTCTTGGAGGTCAGGTTCTTCATCTGTTTGACTTTTTCATGTATCTTCAAAGTTTGGACATATTCCTAGATGTTCAAGTAACTATTTGTTAAATGAATAAATGAGCTTTAATCAAAGTTCTATTTGGAATCTTGACATCAACTAGATCTACCATGCTTCATATTTCTGTTATCCTTGTTCAACATCTAGAATGTAAACCCCTCCAATGATTTATCCTCTCCTGTACTCTTGTCCCTGGTATTCTATTCTTTGCCACCCCTCCCTTAACTTATCTTCTCACTATTTTCATTGATCCTACCCAACCCTTTCTACTCTGTCCTTTGGAACTCCTTTCTAATTAACTCTCCTGCATCCTTCGTTTACAGAATTATCTCATCACCTCCTTGCTTAACAGAAACCTAGCTAGTTATTCACCAGAAACACAGCTTCCAAAAGTTCATGGGACTATTCATTTCTCTAAATTCAGATGCCAGAGATCCAATATCCACTACTGCCACTTCCAGACCACTACTGTGCTCCCCCTCCTCATGTAAAAATCACTCTTTGTTTGAGTCTCTTGTCATTCCATTTCATACAACTCTCTATCTCTTTTTGATGCTATTATGTTCAAACTTCCTGATTATACTCCCTGTACTTTGATCAACTTTACACCTCTATTCCAAATCCAGCCCGTCATCCCAAGTTATTTCACTATCCTTTGGACACAGCCTCTCGTCCATTCTTGAAGGTCCTTGACTTTACTGCTAGTGACTTTTGACTTCATTACACTTCCACTGTCCACTTCAGTGGCCATATTCTGGGCCTTCCAGTCATCAGGAACTATTCATTCTCTAAAATCTTAAACTCAGATATCCCAATGTCTTATTTCTTGAGCTTGTCACTCTTATCTCGTCTACAACCATTATTTAATTTCATTAACTCCCGTTCCTGATTTCTTCTTAGTATCCTAATCTATCTGCTTCCTGGCTTTAAATCCTTCCCTAAACAGCTCAGCTTTGTTGCCTATAACCTCAATACTTCTATCCTCTTCTCCTTTTGCTCCTGCAGTACCTGCCATGTAACTCTTCAACCCTGGATCTATCTAGTAATTCATATTCACATCCCAAATTATAAAATTGTGAAAAATTATAAAATTACACAGATAGATACCACTACAAATTTATTATTTCTACTCTAAGTTTGACCATCAGCACTGCCCAAAAATACTATATTGCCCAAATCAAATCCTCTCTCCTTTCTTATAACAGCAAATTCAAACTTCAACTCCCTCCTGAAACTTCCTTTCCACCACTTACCCATTCAATCCCAGGCAGAAGACTTCATCTCCTGCTTCACAGAGAAAATACAGAACATCTTATATGAATACTTCAATCCTTCCCACTCATACTATAAGATTCCTGTGATGAAATTATCTGCCCCCTCCATCTCTATTTCCTCTCCAATTTCAGAGGAAATTGAGGAAAATCAGTACT